ATTCGGAAGCTGCACTACATGCAACTTCTTACCCACCACCTACTGGTTGTCCAGCACCATCTCTATATTCCACAGCCTCACCTCCTTCAACATATTATCCACCATCTCCTTAGCCCAAAGTCCCACCCCATTCAGCAACATATCATCCATCATCTCCTTATCCCCCTCAATCGACTGCTTATCCTACACCTTACTCATCAGCTTTAGAATTTCTGCCTCAGCCTTATCCACCACAGGGTTACTCTTATCCTCAGTCTTGTAATATGTGAATTTCCTACTCTCCCCTAGCATACCAGTTAGGGTTAACTCTATACTTTTGTTGTCTTTCCAGGTCAATACCCTGGAGCCTATCCTTCATGATCACATTGATGCTATGTTCTTAAATGATTGGACAAGGATTGTGTTCAAACATGTTCTCGATGAGTGATCCTTTAGTAGTGTGGTGTTATATCTCTTTTTGGTATTGAAATTTTAGGACTTCTTTATGACATGTTTGTGATGCTATGCTGAAACTGTTTCATATGCTGAAAAGTTATTTAAATGAAGCTTATATTTTTTGCCTGTACTATATAGGAGTATTTCCAAGCAAAATGTACATAATTTTTCTGTCAGATAGTCTCCACCTGCTTTTGTATGTGCCGCATAGCCTAATTAGACTTGGTTCATAAGTTGGTTATTTTACCAAGGAAGGTCAACTCATCATTGATACTAGAAAAGGAACCTGGAATTACTAAGCACCTAAGAAGAGAGGACTCCTCTCAAATACAAAGTATCTAGAAAATCATAAATAAGAGACTCTCCCTTATAAAATTATAAAAAGAGAATCTACTAGAAATAAGACATGTTCAAAGAAGCTATCTCTTAACATAAGAACTAGCCTATATGAAAAGGATCAAGTATCAAAAGGTGGTACATATTTATTTGCACCAAAGCATGGAAATGGATCAAGTGTGACTAAATCAACCTAGTTGGATTGTATGTTTGATAGCGACCATGTTATACTTCTTAACCAAAGGTGTAATTTGAGCGCATTAGTAATTCAGTTGATCGATGGTTTCAATCAATACTTATAAGACATTATTATTTTAAGTATAGAATTCTTCTCTTTTTCCACCATGTAAGCCTCTTGTTGACGATCAAAAGATATTCTAATCATCTTTAGATGGATCTCTAAATTATCTCTTGTTGAGTGAGAATAATATGACATATTTCTCCAATTTTGTAAGGATCGACTTCGTTGATTGTCTGCTAGACCTGTACTTAAAAGACTATTCATTGAATCACGATCGGTCACATTAGGCACAATAAAACTAGTAAAATGAGTAGGCAAGTTACTCAATGTTCAATAATAGTAATTAAAGAACAAATAATTAAAAGTAGTGTTGGATAAATTTGAGTTCTTGAAAAAAACACAATTAGTATCCGAAATTAATGTATAATAAGTTCGAGTGATTGAAACTTAATGTATATTCCTATTTCATATGGGAAGTTTAAGTTCCTTATATTTGGGGAGTTCAATAAATTTTCTTACTTTTGATTTTATTTTTTGCTTTTAAATTTGTTGATTGATACTTGAAACATAAAATAAAAGTTCGAAGGCACTGACAATATGTAATATTATATCATGAAAATAATTTAGGTGGAGAAATTTTTTCCTATTTTCTTTCTATACCAAAATAAAATGAGTCCAATTCAATTGGAACTTGGCAAACTATCTACTCTAGCTATTTGTGTTTCTTAGCACAGATGCAATGTACTCTGAGAAGACACTATCCCATTCTTGTTTTGGTCTCTAGGAACTATGATACCATTACAAGAAGGTGCCCAAGTATCTGTACAACTATCCATAAAACCCAACACATGTTATAGGCGGAGTCGCAGAATCGAAGTCAAAAGAACTACTTATATTTTTTTTCCTTTTCCAAGCCGCTCTTCTTCTATTTTTCCTCTCAGATGGTGTATCGGGATCACCGTTAATATTTGGAATACCTTCTTGGGCAAATCACCTATTTTAAGGAAATAATCCACCTCATTTTTTAACCTGAATTTACCCCTAGGCATCGACTCAATATAGTATATATCAACAATTTCTATAGAGGCTCCTGTGGTACGAACTTTTATTCAAAACCTCCAATTCTCTGGCAACCACTTTGACCTATCTACATTCACCGAACGCATATGTGTAATCTTCCTCTGAATCTGCAACTTACTCAGAGTTACATCGGACACTTTTCCTTCATTAGGTACATCACCTTTGTTTGTTGTGGTGTTCTCTACCCTAACATTAAACAAAACATCAATGTAGGTTCCCGATGAAAACAACGAGTTTGAAGGTATATCATCATTGCATAAGTCGTCGCTGGTAACAATCATCGGTGGGATGGAAGAGACATCTACATCGACCTTAGTCATCGGAGGAAGCTTTGAAAGAGTCAATGTGGAGAAAAATTCCATTATTAATTTTTCAAAATAATGAACTTTTTCTCCTCATTCATGACTTTTTCAAAGATTCCTCCAATGACTAAGGCCGATTTCGCTGTCTCTTCCATCCATTCAATAATTCTTACCAACGATGACTTCTGCAATGATGGTATACCTTCAGACCCGTTGTTGCCGTCAGGAACCTACATTGATGTTGAGTTGGATGTTAGGGTAGAGACGACAACACTTAACAAAGGGGATGTATTTTATGAAAGAAAGGTGTCTAATGTAACTCCGAGTAAGTTGCAGATTCAGAGAAAAGTTGCGCCTATGCGTCGGTTGAATCTAGATAGGCCGAAGTGGTTGCCAAAGAATTGGAGGTTTGAAACAAAAATTTGTAGCACTTGAGCAACTACAGAAATTGTTGATAGATACTCTATTGAAGCAGTGTTCGGGGATAAATTCGGGTCAAAGAATGAGGTGAATTTTTTCTTGAAAACAGGTGGCAAGCACAAGAAGCAAAAATCTAACATCAACGGTGATGTTGCTACACCATCGGAGGAATAAAATAACAGAAGAAGAGTGGATTCATAAAGGAAAAAAAAGAAAAGTATTTCTTTTAACTTCGATTTTGTGTGACTCCTCCACAGAGCATGTGTTTGGTGTTTATGGATAATTATGTAGATACTTGGCACCTACTTGTAATGGTAACATGGTTCTGTAGACCAAAGAAGGAATGGAATGTTGTCTTCTCAGAGTACATCAGATTTGTGGCGGTCGAACACAAATAGCTAGACTAGATAGTGTGTCAAATTCCCAGTTGAATTGGGCTCATTTTATTTTTGCCATAGTAAGAAAATGGGTAAAAATTTCTCGAACTAAATTATGTTCATGATATAATATTATATATTGCCGTTGCCTTTGAACTTTATTTTTAAGTTTCAAGTATAGACCAGTGAATTTAAAGCATAAAATTAAAAGTAATACAAGATATTGAATTCCCCAAATATAATGAACTTTAACTTCCCAAATGAAATAGGAAATATACATTATGTTAGTGTCAATCACTCGAAATTATTATACATTATTTTCAGCTACTAATTGTGTTCTTTTCAAGATCTCAGAATATATCCAATATTGTTTTTATTTATTTGTTCTTTAATTAGTGTTATTGAACATTAAGTAACTTGCCTTCTCATTTTATTGTGGTTTATGTGAGTGATTGCGATTCCATGAATAAGCTTTTAAGTAAAGATCTAGCAGACAATCAATAAAGTCGATCCTTACAAAATTGGAGAATTTTTTAAATATTATTCTCACTCAACAAGTGACCCCTCTAAGATGACTAGAAGATCTTTCGATCATCATCAAGAGGCTTACATGGTTGAAACAGAGGAGGATTATACTGAGAATTATAATTTCTTATAAGTATTGGTTGAAACAATCATCAACTGAATTACTAATACACCCAAATTATACTTCTAGTTAAGAAGCATTCCCTCAGACGGAGCACAGTATTTGGTCCAGAATACTGACATCAAACTTGTTGGTGTTTATTTGTTATCTGTTGCCGTTAGTCCCAAGGATAAGCTCCTTAAACTTCATCATCATCTTATGAATTCTAAAGTAAATATAACATCCATTTGTTTAATAAAGTTGATCTATAATTACAGATAACTCTACATAGCAAGTCTAATCTGTACTTTGAAAAATAGAGTAATAACTTGTTGGTAGTCGGTTGAATTGAACTGATGTATCATTATCAGTGTATAAAACCTAAAATTTGATGTGGCTACCTGTAAGATTGAAAACCCTTTTGATAAAGAAATGTCAAATAGGTTTCTTGTTTATATATGCATCAGGATATTATTCCAGTGGAAGGTTTCAACCTTGATGATGCAGACCCGGGCTAGGGCCTATTGGCTCTAAAACACGAGTCTAAGGTAGTCACTAGCCTACACCTAGGCTATGAAAAAGAACAAGCTACTAACAGAATATAAGCGACAAAACTGATACCACAAGGCATGCAACAACCTATGCAACTAAGTAGGAAATTTGATTCCTCAAAAATCTACCCAAAATACAGGTAAGGCATGAATTCTAATCACCAACATAATACAAACTACAAACCCTTGAAATAAATTAAACCAACAAATCATTTTTTCTGCGTACCTCCAAGAAATATTAATTTGATATTGAAATGCTTGATTTTCCCATGAAAAACAAGATTATTTGAGATAGCAATAACTTCTTGATCATCCACAAACATCTCTGTGCACTTAGCTTCCTTTAAATTCATGTCAAGTAGCACTTTTCTAAGCCACAAGGCTTGTTTTGCAGCAACTGCTGTTGCTAAAATGAACTAAGCTTTAATCGTAGATTGTGCAACAATATCTTGCTTTTTTGAACATCAAGAAAATACCCCTGAACCAAGATTAAAACAATAGTCAGAAGTGCTCTTCATGTCATCAGAAAAGAAACCTTAGTCACTATCGGAATACCACTGCAACACGTACTTCTGATTTGCAGAGAATTTGATTAAAAAATTCAAAGTTTCCTTAACATATCTTATCACCCTATTAGTTGCTCAAAAATGAGAGCCAGTTGCAACATCCAGCCAAACACTGGTAAAGAGTCTCATCCATTTTTCCAGCATCATCATTTTTGCTCAACTTCTCCTTTTGACACATTGGAGTAGTTGTCTCTTTGCAATTTTCCATTCTGAAAATTTTTAAAATGTCTTTTGCATAATTTATTTGACATATTAACACTTGAATTTGTCCTTGCTTGATTTCCATTCCTAGAAAATACACCATTTCTCCCAAATTCGTCATCTCAAAAGTCTGTCGCATATCTTCTTTAAATCTCTTAACAAGTTCATCATTTCTTCCAGTAACCAGTATATCATCTACATATAGTGAGATAGCAATAAAGCTAATTTTATCACCTTGAATGTAGAGAGTAGCTTCACTAAGTCATTTTCTAAAACCTAGTTGCGCCAAATGCTCATCAATCGTGTTGTACCAAGCTTTAGGCGCTTGCTTTAGTCCATACAAAGCTTTTTTGAGCTGATACATGCCCTTTGATTGGAAATCCTTCAGGTTTCTCAATATAAATGTCCTCCTCAAGAAAGCCATTCAAGAATGCGGATGTAGCGTCCAATTGGAACACTTTCCAACCCTTTTGCGAATGTATAGCCAACAATAATATGGTGGTTTCTAATCTAGCAATAGGAACAAATGTATGAGAAAAATCAATACCAAAAAATTTGAGCATACCCTTTACAACAAATGTGGCTTTGTGCTTGTTGATAGAATCATCTGCATTCAACTTTGTTTTGAAAATCCACTTCATTCCTATGACTTTCTTGTTTTCAGGTCTTTTCATAAGTTTCCAAGTTTGTTTCTTCTCAATCATGGGGATTTCATACTTTATTGCAACTCTCCATTTTGGATCTTTTTTTGCCTCCCAAAAATTTGCTGTCTCAAGGACAACCATATTGCATCTCTGATAGATTTCATAGAGAGATGTTGTGCCTCTTACTAGGACATCATCCACCAATTCATCTTCCTTCAGCTAGAGCATTTTACTTTGATATGGAATTAATGTTGGTTCTGGTTCTTTCCAGTTCCATCGTTCATCTTCCATGAAATACACATCTCTACTTATCACTTATCAGGATTTTCCTTGTATGAGGTTGAAAACCCCTGTAAGCCTTTGAAACAATGTTTTAACCCACAAATATTCCAGATTTTTCTTTTATCCAACTTCTCTCTTTATCTTTGTGGAACATAAGTAAAGCACAAGCATCTAAACACTTTAAGATTTAAAAAAAGAGTAGTATAACCATACAAGACTTTAAATGGTGTCTTACCTTCTAATGCTTTTGTCGGAAGCACATTTAGTAGAAAGACTAAGGTATGTGCAACCTCAGTACAATGGAAAACAGTTCTCGTACAACAAACATCTAGCCATCTCCATTATGGTACGATTTTCCCTTTTCCCTCTCACTAACTTCATTTTATTGTAGAGTATTATATATGGAACAGTGAGCTGGTGTTCAAGCCCGACTTCTTCACAAAATATATTAAACTGATCATATGTGTACTTCTTGCCATCATCCTTTGAAGTTCAAATTCTCTTACCAAGTTGAGAATCAACATTCCATTTATCCGTTCATCTCATTCAGATTCTTTCTTTAGGAAATTTCAGACCTCAAATATTGTTTTATTTGTCATAATCCTAACAAAAATGTCAGATGAGACTGCAGCAAATAATGTCACTCTAGCCTTTGATTTTCTTGTTTTCTTCTCCTTGTGGTTCCTTATCTACGCCATAGTTTGATTAAAGGCAAGGGAGGAACTTCGTAGTCCTTCTCAACTGCTTCCCACAAATCATTTGCCTCCATATGTGCCTCCATTCTTGATGCCTAGATATGACAACCTTTAAATTTGAAAAGAACTGGTGCTAGTGCAGCGCGAGGAGTTTCTGGACCCATATATGAAAAAAAGGAATAATGTAACACCCCGTATTCGAAACAGACCAAAATACAGATTTCGAGAAGTTGCAGGTGCAACTTACGGTCACCATCCACGGACCGTAGGTCAGACCACGGCCCGTGCTGGTGGTTCGTGGTTCACCACTGCAACCCCTCCCAAAACCAGCTCAGAAAATTGGCTAAGTCCCGACTCACGGACAGACCCACGATCCGTAGATCAGACCACGGTCCGTGGTCTGTGTCCGTGGATCGAGACTTCCCCTACCCAGCCTCTGACACAAACTACGGTTGA